TCATCCTGCCTCCATCATCAGGGCGACATGTTGGAGTCAACACGGACCTGTAAAACGTCGATAAACTTCTACCAGACTACAGGCGCAACAACCCAGAAGACAGCCTTCTTCACAATTCAACACCCTCACGTTTGGATATACCACTGACTGACATATTTGATATTTAAAGTTAAACGCCATGTTACGTAAGGTTCAGCCTTATGAGGACGTATGGGAAATGAAGATAATGCTTTATACATTCTTAACATCGGTATTATCCATTTGTGAGGTTACAGCTTCACGTCGGGCCCCCCTTAGGTAAGAAATGTAGGCCAACAGGAAGCTAGGTAGGAGGTCACAGAATCTATCTGGACTTCTGACAAAAAATGATAATATCTACCTTGTAGGGAATCCAAACCCGGTCTTTGAAATCGTATCCAGTCAATCAATTGACTGAGTCATTCCGTCCCCCACGTTCAGGTCCATTATGCCATTTTTGTAAAGGATGCGTAGTCTAAGAGATTTTAAACGAGAAATCCTTCGGTGGTAAAGACCTCCGAATCTAAATATCAACAGACTGGGCTTCCAAGAAACGCATTTTACGAGTTTTCTGTCTGTAAAGAAAGCCTATACTGTAACGCTGTGTAATATGTATTCCTGTAGTCGATAAAAAACCGTATTAGTTGTGGTCAAAAACCCAACGTTTCATAGACGACTCCTCCATCATCAGGGGAATGATGTGGAAGTTGACCTGATGATGGAGGTTGAGATGGTCTCCGAAACGACGGGCTTTTGCCCATAACTGACACGGGTTGTTGCCCGAGACGATTTTATCGAGTGCAGTCGCCGTGTAAGTTTCAAGTCTTGTGATATTTCTGTAGCTTCAGAATTTGTAATCTTCAGTAATGAATAGTCTATCAGGATGATTTATCAGGGAGGATGAACGTGAAGGGACTTGTATGGTACTAGGGAAGATGAGAATTATTTTAATCTGACAGAAAGACAGAGGAAGAGACCATTTGGTAGACCTACACATCGACGGTATGGTAAATTTTAAGTGTGTCTTAAAATGGTGTGAGAGTTTCTACTCGAGACGCTCTAATGAAACTTCAGATTTCATAAAAACAAATCATTTATTGACTGTCTGGTCAACTATCAGCTTTTTATGACAAACGCTGCATCATGAAGTTAGTGACATAGTTTGTTGTTGTTGTGCTGATTAAAACGATCACGAACTTCGGTACGTGATCCCTTATTGCACTAAGCTGTGACTGCCCTTAAGCTGAAATTCTTTCGCGAATACCGAGTAGGTCTGCTGTGACGTCCAATGAGCAGTCATCATCTGTCTGTAGACCACCTGATTGAAATAAGAAGTGACAAGCTGGTCAGACCACATTCCGAGCGAGACCACTGAGAAATAAGTTTTGAATCTCCTTATTTTGTTCTTCAGAATCCATAAGCAACGATTAACGGTGTATTTTCATCAAAACTGCATTCAATAATTTGCCGGCATCTGTCAAAATAACCATGAACATCAACAACAAAAAATAAATTCGTTTTATTTTAAAAGTTAAATAATAGATTTAAATCACTTATTATTCAATCATGAATTATAAATGAAGCTACATTATCTGTACGATTAAATAAAGGTGTCTAATGTATAAGGGTCTGATATAAAATTTCACATTCCGTCAACTAAATACATATACTAATTCTATAATAATTAGAAAAAAATTAACAAGTAAATAAATTATTATTATGTTAAATAATATTAAATCCAATATGACATGCTATACAGTAACATTTGATGTCACTCTTAATAATTACGTAGAACCCAGTAACTAACAGCACTTGACAGACTTGTGGAGTTGAATTAGCATTAATGCTAGATAGATGCTTATCTGACATGTCGAATTTAAATTATTTATTGATTAGAAATAATTTATTTAGTAATCTGATACACACAAAAACACCAGCAACTTTAATACACACCAATTTTTCCCAAATGATTGATCACTAATTTGAAATAAAAGCTGTTGTCATAAATTACTATCAGTAATTAGTGTCAGATTAGTGTTAAATAAGAGCTTAGTAGAAAACGGTTCTCAGGGCGGAAAGTATGAATGTGGTTGTCTTCTGGGTTGTAACGCCATGCAGTCTGGTAGAAATTTACTTCTGTGTGTATTTTGAATAAATACTCAAATTGAAGATGAACTCGGGTAGCTCAGTCTGTTTTGTCTGACTGCGGGCTGGAAGTCGGGGATTTTATTTCTGGCAGGGGCAAAGAATTCTTTGTCTGCCCTCTGCGTCTAGACGGTCTCTGGGGCCGACCCAGTCTCCTATCCAATGGCGAAGCTCGTCCGGCTATGACGGTGACCAATTGCCCCATCTGGTGTCGAGATCAAGAATGAGCAGGAGCTGTAACCTTTCTCCCTTTTAGGGCGTGTAGCGGGACAGCTTTACTTGTATCGAAGGCTACACTGTATGAAGGGACACTAACTGAATGACTTACTAGCGAACTTATACTATTTAGCGACTTTCAGTTATGTAATTGTTAGATAAGATTTCATCGTTCAAGAGCTAAAAAAAAGTGTTGTGAATCAAAAACTATGAAGACGACAGCCTCATGGGCTATTGCGCCATGTAGTCTCGTAGAAGTTGACTGACGCGTCATAGTTGTTTACTGTCTCCATTGTCAGGGTAAACGATTCTGCTAACTTATACGAGACTGTTCTGCGCGGTGTCCCAGAAGGCTGTTGTAGTAATACTCGCAATTCGTAAAAAACGTGAAATCCCACGAACAGAAACTAGTTTACAAGATCGCAAATCGTCTTTCCACATGCGAAATAAATTGAAAATACTCTATATTACGTTTTGGGTGATTTGCATTTCTGTAAATACAGAAAAAAGAACTAGGCAATACCTACACAGAACAAACTGAACATAATCCAGGCTTGGAGTAGAATTCACTGCTACTGTTCCATAGTTTAAATTGTCCAAATTTATCCGCTCCAAGTGTTTTTGTATTTCTACAAGTAACACGCCTGTTTCAGGTAATGCATGAGTCTTCAATTCTTTTTGTGGGGTTTCGTCATATTTCATTACGTGGACTTAATATTACCTTTATGAACGACCAATAATTCTTGGAGTCATATGATAAGCTAATGCAATCAGGGAAGGAAATAAGTTGATATGACGCAACAGAGAAAATACTTTATTGTTCTTTTATAATTTATAATCATTCGTGCTCATTACAGACAACACTGAAATACATTACGTAGTATAATTTAGCATAACTCAATATTAATAGCTATAAAGAATTTACATTAAAATACCTGTACTTCGCTTACTGTAGTCGGGGGCGAATCTGTACGTTTTGCCTACGACACTATCTTTAGAGTAGAAGGAAAATAAACACATAAACTGTGCGAAATGCAAAGTATTGTCACTGAGAAATATTGTCTCCTGCTTGCACAGTTTCTTCATTCTTATCTGTTACTCCTACCGCCTTTTTGATCCTCTTGTCTTCTTATTCCAACGGATTTGGAGCGCACATATTCGCCCCGACTACAGTACTTTCGGAACTGCAAAAGTTTTTTTTTCTTTAATGACGCTGTCAGAAGATACAGTGAGTTAAACATAAAGAACGCCACTTAAAACATTTGGACCTGTTTCTGTTTTGTGACAGAAACCCCCCCCCCCCCCCCCCCCCAAATTATGTTTTTATGTATATGTTGGGTAAACTATCACAGACGCTTACTATGGACAGATCAATACGTGGATTGGATACCGATGTCCATCGTTTCAGGTGGCGGCATTATATTGTTTACATTCATTTTATTTTTACGTGAACATTAATCTTAGACTGTTAAAGTGAAAAGTTTCATGGAAAATGTTGTAGCTCCAAAATATGTGAAAATATTCCTTTCTTACACCGCGTAGAATGATCCAGCACATCCAGGACATCCAGTGATTTATATCAACAAGTTCCGACTCGTGTATATAGATTTTAATACATAATGGGTTTCTTTTTGTTTTATTATATGTTCTCCCCATTGACTTCATGATACATGGACCTTTCAAATACTTTCGAAATTGGCTATGAAATGCCAAGATTATCTTTATTAATTCTCCACCATCGCTGGATCATACCGTAAGCTAGTTTAGTTTAGTCCACACATGTTTATATAAATGCTATTTTAATATTATCAGTCCATTTGAATTTGTTTCTCAATTGGATTCTTCCATTCAGGTTTTCTGACTAAATTTTGTAGACTACGCGTTTTCAGCTCCCCTCGACGAATTACGTGGCCCATCAATTTTATTTATTTTTTTATTAATCATCGTCATAGTTTATAGGCGAGATTAATAATTATGAACTTGCCATATGTTGACAAGAATGGAGCCATATCCTTTCATATTAAAACTCTGCAATCTTTAATATAACTATAATAGAAAATACGTTTTGTCATATGTACTGTTGTCCCAACCAAAGCAAATTGGTATATGAGAATAAGCTGAACAAATTCAAAAGAACGTGTTAGTGCGACCTCAGCATTCCTTCTAATAGCCTGTGACTTCAGCGCCCTCGAAAGCTAGAAAGCCAGTGACCGTTTTGAAGATATAGTACCGTATTACAAATAAAGCAGACGCCCGATAATCTGCGGGCGGAGTAACCGGTTTGATGATTATCCGGGGTCTATCTGATTTGAACGAAAATCAGAAATTAATTTAGGAAACTTTGTTGTAAGTTAGAACGTTTGAAAAGAAATGAACATTATTTAACGTATTAACATGAATGAATTTTTGTTAAAACCTGAAGTTTGCGACAATAGAACGTTGTTTCTATCCGTTAGAATATTTTTAATAGTTATGTATACTGTACTAAAATTTATGTAAAATTCTCTCTAATATTAGCAAAATCTTTAAAATGTTAAGTAGTGTATGTCTGTAAATAAAATAACGGACTTGTAAAGTTTCCGTATTTTTCTTTAATTTCTTGCGGATTATCCAGGGTTTCGATATTTTTGGAAAATATATTTCTCAACCAACCCGGATAATCGGGAGTCTCTTACTGCCGTATCTTATATGAAATTATATGTATTGTTCTCTGTCGGTACGTTTTGACTGTAGAGACCTGAGATCCATTAGCAACAGACTCACCGAGTCCATCATGTATGGAGCTCACGGTCAGTCATCTGACTTCACAATAAAACACAAACAAATCTTAAAACTCCACGCGTGTAGATTGCTTCTTGTTATCCGTGATATGTAATCCTATTAAACCTGTGCAGTCCGTGTATTATTTGCTCAAAAAGTATTTTATTTGTATGTATATAGAGTAAATCAGATTTGATGTCCATTGATAAACTAAGTAACCAACTCCCTGGTAGCAAAACCCGCAGATCCAATACCGACAACACCAAAGCACCAAAGCCCGCCACCAGACATGATCCTGATCCAACTCCATCCATTTGTCATCCTCACAGCCCACCTTCCTAAGATCCATCTTGATATAATCCTCCCATATCCTTCCTGGTCTGCCCAGTGGTTGTTTTCCAGAAGGATTCCATACCAAAATTCCCTGTGCACCCCTTGCATCTCCCCCATGCGTGCCACATATTCAGCCCATCGGTGCCTCCTAGATTTCACTGTCCTCACTATAGATGACCTGTACAATTCACGCAGTTCTTTGTTATGTAATAGTCTTAAGTTCCCTCACTTATTTTATCCTTCATAGGTTCAAATATCTCCCTGAGCAAACACTTGTAATTTACGTTCTTCCTTCAAGGTAAGATACTATGTTTCACAACCACACACGACAACAGATAAAATTATTGTTTTATATTTCCTGATCTTTAATGTTAAGGATAGCAAACGAGATAACAGTTTTTGAATTGAACGAAAATAACCATTACCAGAATGTATTCTACTCTTAATTTCACCATGGACCTCATTTCTACTTGTTATTGTTGTTCCCAGATACGTAAATTTTTAAACATTTTCAAATGATGTGTTACTTATAATTATGTTTCGCAGTTGTTGCTGATGTTAATCTTATATTATGCCCATGTATTTAGTCTTGTCTACATTTACTTCTAGGCCTATTTCCTTGCTAGCCTCTAGGAGAGTTTCTGCATTCTAGGTTATGGTACCCACACCATCCCCCAGAAAATTAACATCCTTCCTAATTCCCTCTAACCTTCGCGATGACATGTTCTAGGGCAAAATTAAAAAACATGCCCATCGATTAGATTATAAAATTAGAAAACTTGAATTGTAAAGGAGATGATAGAAGTACAATATTTATCGACACACCTTCCCCTTAAAATACCCCCCCCCCAAAAAAAAAATCAACCTGTTTATTTTACGAAGATGGCTGTCTTCTGGGTTGTAGCGCCGTGAAGTCTGGTAGAAGTTTACCAACGTTTCAAAGGTTTATGAATGATTTATGTCAATCTCTGACATTGTCAGCGATGTCTCTTTGATCGCGTCATGGCCACTGTCTGTTCTCGAGATGAAATGATCTTTGTTCTGATCACATTTCTGTTTATCTTTCTTCTGTACTCTCTGACGATTGTTCTGAAGCTGCATTTTAGTGGAGGACGATCGAGAGTTAGCAATTGTCGGTTTCTCTAGAGGAACCTCTTCAGCAGAAGTGGTTTCTGCATCATTCTGTTCTTTTTCCGTTACCACAGACGAAGAAAATGTCTCATATTTCCTACCCTGTGGCAAAATATTGCTATTATCTTTAAACTCTGTCAAGAATATATCTCCAAGATGTTTTCTGATGTCACTTGTGTAATGATCGGACGTCGAAACACCATGATCATTCCCCCATTGAAACAGGTTCCTTGGCGAATTTATTGACCGTTGATATTTATTCCATTCTGTACCTAATCCCTTTGACTGATCACTTCTCCAGCTTTGTCTGAAGGAATCACCATCCAAGCTCCTTTTTATGTCTTGGTACTGTGGCGGTACGTCATTGTGCCAGATGTGAGTCATCGATGGTAAGTAGTATATGCCCTTACTGCTCTCCTCGACTTCATGCGGAGTTTCCACCAATGTTGGGTCTCGATTCCTATCAATCAGTTCATCATAGGAGTGCCCACGTTTGATCTGTTGTATTACCCGGTGAGGCATGTACTTTTTCAGTATTCCACTGCCCCAGTCTTCTCTAATTTCGTCTTCTCTGAGTGTGTGCAGAGCGGGAACTTCTTCGGGAGTCACTACCATGGAAGGCCTCAGATTGAAATCCAACCACACTTGTTTAAGATGACCCTGTGGCCGGGGATTGTACCGCGATCTCCGGGTTTCTTCCGGGTAGTGTTTGTTTTCTGTCCAGTCGTCTTCTGTTCCGTGGGTCTCGTACAATTCTGTGTGCATAAGTAACAGGCACACAGTAAGGAATCTATGTTACCTTTGTCACTGGGACTTGAGCTTTTAATTAGGAGTACGGCATTTTGACTCAGACATAAAGCTGGTAAATGATACGCAAGTTTTGAAACCAAACATGATAATCTGACTCAATTAAAAGTCGCCATGCCAGTTCGCACTATCGAGACACGCGTAATAAAGCGGTGTCCTCCAGTTTGTTTCAAACTTTCTTCTTGTGAACGGTGCGTATAACTGAGACAATTTTCGCCTTCAATTGCAATCATTTTTTAATCACAGTATGTGATTATGCTTTTACAGTGACTGCAGTCACATTCGTGACTTGAGTCTTGTGTTTGAGTTGTTTGTGAATATTTGTGCAGGTCGCCCTAGAGTAGAGTATCCCAATGTAGAAACATAGAAGGAATCACGAACTGTGTTCACGTTCCTGACATAAGAGTAAGCACCGAGCTGGAAGGTTCTGGAACCAGTTAGAGAAAGCTAATTAATAGGTACTCGGAAGAACATGTCAAAAGCTTGTGTTTTCAGAATTGGAGAATAACATGTTTTAGAAATAAGTTATGATTTATGGTCATGATATTTCGTGATTTACTTTTTTTTACATTTTAAATTTTGATTTTGTTTAAAGAATCCTGAACACACTCTGCCCCCCTCCGGAATTCATTGCCCACACATTAGAATTAGTAATTTAACTTCTTTATTGTTAAGGTATTGTAGATGCGTCATATTGTGAATTAATAGTATTAAAATATTTAAATATTTAAAAATAACCGTCAATCACAATAAAATTAAAAGATTAAAAGATTAAAATATCATATTATGTTCCCTATCGAGTACTCGATTTACATATGGAATTTTATTGTGATTGACAAATATTTAAATATTTTAATTCTTTATTGTTATGTTTTACTTATTAATTATTTATTATCACTATTTGTTTTCCTGTTATCGTGTCTAGATAAACACCTTTCACTTGAAAGTAAATAATTTTGGTTGTCCTTGATTCTTCTCATCTCTCGTGTGATTTACGGATGTTCGATTTTTGTGTCTGTATTTATAGTAACTGACTGAATGAAAAACACATTTACAATAACGTTATTAGTGCTTAAATTTATTTCGACATCTGTTATAATCCCGCCAATTGCTTGAATATTCCTGACATAGTCTACATCGTGTACTGACTTAGTCATTCAAGTCTTCGTCTTTATAAGAAGTTGTAGAATTATATATAAAAACTAATGCGTCGACACTTAACAAATTAGATATTCTGATGACAATTTCGCAGTTCTTTCCTCCCGTAGTAAGTGTATAGTTATTTCTTTAAATATAAATTTTTACAATATTCCGCGTTAACGCTTAAACTTGCTGTTATTTTTAAATTCCCTTGCTGTTGATTTTAAGAACTTAACCAACGCAGTCAGTAATTTACTGGTTTAATTATTAACCCACTGTTATAAATTTTGCGATAGGCACACATCGAAAGTTGTTTACAGAACTCATCCTGTCTCGATACAACGAACTGGCCGTAAATGGCACACTGGCGCTGTCTGTCTTCGGAAAGTAAATACATCTTAACATGTTCGCCTTTGGATTTCTGAAAAACAGCAATGCTAAGATTGTTAGAAAGAGGCTTCACTGGGTCTATGTTACTTAAGAGTAAATCCGTTTTATCTGTACTGTCTTTATCTTAATTGTTGTTAACATTCTAAAAATAAGGGACGAGATGTAATGATACATTTTGCGTTGAAACGCAATGCATGCGTAGAACTTTGACCGACAAAACGTAAAGTTACAAAACCTTTACTAGTATGCTATTACGGATCTTGTTAATTATCATTGAAATACTCTTTAAATAAATAAATAAATACTTAAATGCTCTTTATGCCGCTAAATATATATTTAGTCTATGTTACAAGTTTGATAAATTGGTGGCATATCACCATTGAGTTTCAAACTGTATTAACGTAAGAGAAAAAAGTAACCTGCTGTAAACATATATTTCGCAATTTTTTGTTTGTTTGTTTACATATGGACATTGTATGGTCCTTGTAACTCGACAAACTCTGGGATACAAATTTATGTTTTGGGCAGATGAACATATTCTGTTCATGTACACACTGATCAAAATATTAATACTATTTCCCTTGTGGGGAGAGAAGCTATAGGCCTGTACAGGACAGATTCCTGTATGTGCAAAATATAATTTTTAGAACTAAAAGTAAATATAGGCGTTCTTTTTGCGTTGACTGCCATTCCATTTCGTAAGGTTTATCTCAGTAAGATTTGTCATTTCTGTAGGCCTGATACGCCATGGCCTGCCCGATCTCCCTACTTCTCCGTCGGCTCGCGTACTCCTTACCATAGTGAGGAAAGTACTCTGAGTGGTATTCGGCGTGAGGTTCGTGCTCCGGGTACCACGGCGTGTGTTGGTGGTGCATTGGCTTGCACCATTTTACGAGTGATAGTAAGCTCGGCAGAAAGATAATTGCTAGGATCAGCACCTTCTTGATGAACAGGACCGCCAGAAGTATTGGAACTAGAAGTGCTTTCAGGTGGAAGAAGGAGATCAGGGGTAGCAGATACATCATCGTCTTCTTCTTTCCTCGGCCTGCCACTGAAACCAAATGATACACAAGTTAACATGGGTGTAGGAAGACGTAAATGACTTTGGTGGGGAAAGTTCGTAGCGTGTAGATTATTTGAATGCTGAACAGGTACTGGGAAGGTGGTATTGGTATCTTCAACCGTGATAATTATTGTAATAAATGGACTTAACAAGGCATTCTCGGTCAGACATATTCTGACGCAAGGAAAATTAATTTCTAGTCCAGTATCGGCACTAATTTTATACGATAAAATATTTAATATATGTGATCAAGCTCTTAAGGACGAAGTCTAAAGGCATGTCATCCCGCACCCTCCTTATTCGCCGTGTGACTTCTTCCTCTTCCCTAAGATGAAAATTCAGCTAAAGGGAAGGAGATTTGAGACGATAGAAGAGATTCAGGCAGAATCGCAGATGGTGCTTGACAGGCTGACAAAGAAAGATTGCCAGGAATGCTTCCAGGCTTGGCAGCGGCGCTGGGATCGTTGTGTTCACTCCCAGGGGAACTACTTCGAGGGTGATGGATGAATTTAATACCTGAGATAAGTGTACGGGTTTTTATAGGCGCAGTCTAGAAACTTTCCGATCGCACCTCGTAGTATTATAATGTTCTTGTGTGTGTGTCTGCTTTTGTTAGTAAAGCATTGCCCTGAAAGTTTCTGTCGTGCCATATTGTCGAGTAAGGTGTAACTTTTATTTTAAGAGAATATTTTTAAGAATGTAAAATATGAACGTCGCGCCAAAGTCTGATTTGACGTTATGTTTGAATGCAATAATCATTGAACAATTACGATTAGTTATGTGAGGTTTTTGACGAAGTTCCAGTCTAATAAGCAAAACTAAAATATTATTTTAGTGCTAAAAAAAATTCGAATATGATACCTCTGTATAAATTCGAAATCCGTCAGCTAGTCAATATTTTCACAATCTGTTTCTTTAATTTTAGTTATTTAATGGACGATTTTAATGTGCAGATAATGTTACTTCTTTCTCAATGTGCTGTGTCTGTGTTACATAAATTGAAAGCACACATTAATTTCTAACCTAACCTAACCTAACCTAACGTAAACTAACCTAACCTAACCTAACGTAAACTAATCTAACCTAACCTAACCTAACGTAAACTAACCTAACCTAACCTAACGTCAACTAATCTAACCTAACCTAACCTAACAAATTATTCGCTACATTTTACTGCTAATTGTATTTATGAAATAACAATAAGTAGTTGTTAGGTTATTTATATCATCGTCTGTGTGTTTCTCACGTATGGAAGAAAATATGGTTGAAGAGAGGATAAGGCCTTACAGACAATGGTAAGACAGGTCCCGGAAGACAACATGGAATTATGAATTTGCAGATCGAAAGGTAAAGGAACACCAAAGTGGCGCTTGAAAGGGAAACTTGAGGCTGGGACAAGAGGGAAGTTGCCTAAACTGTTAAGACAAAATGAAGGCTATCTAACAATGTTCTGTCAACTGCAGTGGAAACAAGGTTAAATAGAGTATGAAGTGATTACGAATTACGGGAAATTAGGTTTTTTTTAATGTATATACTCCTTATTTTAAGTTTACTTTGCGACTCTGGTAGTAGAATAATAGAGTGACTAATACATAATAATTGGAAAAAGACATAGAAGTTAGCGGTCGTGTCTTAATTTAAGGTAATATCCCGGAATTTTCATGAACGGACTGAGGAAAATCGTGAAAATCCTCAATCAGGATAGCCGATCTCCGGCCTCGATTCAGGGCAGATCTGAAGAGAGTTCTGTCAGTTATGGTTTATCGACTAATTGTTGAGTCTGTTGATAGGAACTATCAGCTTTACTTTTATCGATACTCTTACCTCCTTTTAAACTGCTACTGAAGAAATCGTCATCAATGATCCTCGGTGTCTCGAAGTCCTCTGCACCTCCATCTGAAGACAATCTTGTCGGGACGTTAATAGCGAGAGAATATGCTCTGACGAATCTCTCCACCTGCCTCAGGGTAAACCGGAACAATCTCATGAGCTCGGAATCAGTGGACCGTGGGCTCGAATCTGAGAACATTTGCTGAACTTTTGTCGGTTCTTCACTTGGTGGTAATGCTATAAGCTTTAAAGGTCCCCATAAGTTGAGCTCTGATCGTCTCGAAGTACCATTATCGCTCGATCCTTTAAATGGTGAAGTCACCTCATGAATATATTTTAGAGCCTCATATTTGACACACGTGGACATATCTCTAGCTATCACGCAGCCAAAATAAGCTTCATCTAAATATGAATCGCCTGTAGAATAATCCATGCTGCTGTTTGTCTTGTTGACTGTGACAACGTTTTCCGGCGATGTGATGTTTGAAGATTTGTCAATATTTGAAACTGGCGTACAATCAGTTCTTAAAATAGTAAGGACGAACACTAATAACGCCATTTCCAATACACGATGGACCCTGAGGCTGCTGTTGGTATCCATAGCGACAATTCACTAAGAACTTCTGACGTTTTCCACTTGTTACTCTTGAACGGACATCCAGTTGTTAACACCGCACCCAAATCAGCAAGAAACCATTTTATATCAGTAATAAAATTGAGGTCAGTTAACATGATGCCTTCCAGAACGCCCCTATGAAACTGGCTCATCACGTTTAATTGGAGGGGTACAACAGTTAAGGCTTTAAGGGGAATTTTAAGAAAAAATATTTGTAGGAGAGGTAGAGGTTAGCAGATCTGTATTCTCTTAAGTCTTCGTAAAAAGTTGTTTTCCGCTGTGGAATGAAGACAGATAGATGGTTGCGATAATCATTCCCTAGGCGGAGACTGAATAAAGATTGGCCAATCACGGGATGGTACTAGTGTTTCTGTGCTGTCCGAATTGGAGGTATAAGTTCAGTTTCTCAAACACATCACTTCATGTCGTCTTTTGTAAATGGTGGGAGCTTTGAAGTAATGAGAGGGGTATCACAACAGCATGGAGTTAATACCTTAAATTGTACTAGAAACACAAAGTGGCAATACTGTTATTTTATATTATTTATATATTGTGCTTGGCTGTTAATGAGTATGAGTGTGTGTGTAAATGAATGAATGAATTAACCTACCAGGTTCATGTAGCAATAAGCTACATTTATTTATTTTTCTGGTGAGATACCTGTTTCGAATTACAGTCGGACTACTCTGCCTGAGCTTTTTCGTAGTTCTCAGTCTCCTCAAGCGAATGCTAGGATAGTATGATGTATAAAGTGAAGCTGATGAAGGACTCTCGGACAACAAGCCGTGTCAGGTGGCTGAATGGTGAATGAACCATTTTTTCTGACAGCGTTTCGAGAGCCATTTCTGCTCTCATCCTCAGGACCAGTTTCGTTTCGCAGCTGCCCTGCCTATCTAACTGTGATTGTGTGAGTATCCGGAATGAGGCGGCGGTGGTCGTGGCCTATTTGATGTTTTTATCCACCTTCATTTGCATAGACGTAGGAGAACCGTTAGAAAACTGAGCCAGAATATCCGGTAACGTGATCGGGATTCGACCCGGCTAGACTTACATCCCAAACAGGAGTTTAGACCTCTGCCACTATATTAATGTTCGATATCGGTTTTACAGAATCTAAGCTGTGTATCGATATTTTTGAATTTTATTAAGTGTACACTACAACGTGAAATTTTTCAGGAAGAGCCCAAAGTCTTCCTCGTTGAGGTACGAGGTAGTGCCTCAGTTTATACAATTATCCTCGTTTGAGAAATTTAACGAAGTTATAATTCGACTTTTTGTAGAGTAGGAGTTGTTTTCATTTATACGCATTACATTTATGTAAAGATTTTTTTATAAACATTCCATATAAAATCGTATCGATATCCATTAAATGGTCAGGAGTCTGAAATATAATCTCTAAGGCATACGAGATCCCTGTTTTGTTTCATCCCTATGTGTGTGTGTGTGTGTATAGACAGAAGAATAATTTACTGCAGTGGGAATAGAATTTATACGAGGCTCGTCCACAAAGTAAGTTTCCCTGGGGCCGTTTACAGAAAGAAAACACAATTTCATGGAAATATTTATTGCAACAGATACAGCAAGTGTCCAGCTATTTTTCAACATATTCGCCACCGGAATTGAGACATTTGTCATACCGTGGGACCAACTTTTGAATACCTGTGTCGTAGAAGTCTGCCGCCTGGGATTGGAACCACTGTGTGACAACCATCTCCGCCTCTCTGTCATTCTCAAAACGCTGACGCTGACCGGACAGGAATTTCTTGAGGTGTAGGAAAAGATGGAAATCACTGGGAACGAGGTCCGGGCTGTAGGGTGAATGATCAAACACCTCCCAGCTGAACTCCTGCAGGAGACTCGCTGTCCGTCGAGCCGTGTGCGGCCGAGCGTTATCACTGACCGCACTTCACAGTCGGCGGGAGCTGGAATAAGAACCTCCATCTTCAACAGCTGCAACGATGCTACTGTGAGAACGCGGGAAGTACCGTTAGTGCATGCGCCATGCTACGTCATTGCTCTATCACGCACGCACAGTCGCTTCGCGCAATATAAGGTTTGCTAGCCGTGGGACGAGTGGGAAACTTACTTTGTGGACGCGCCTCGTATCTGCAGTTAATTGACATCAAGCCCGACATAATAATTAGGTGCAGTCGCTGTAATCACAAATAACCTACTACTCCTTTTTTAAAAATTTAGGTTATTCGGTAATGTTATTTTACTGTTTAATGTTGAAATGAGGTTACATTCGGACACTTGTTTCATATAAAAATTGTAAATAGTTGTCACGCCCATAAATGTGACGCTGTTATCTGCCTTATTCCTTAGTAGGCGTACGTGAAGTAGCCATTTTTGTTAGATGTTGTTCTGTTTAATTGGAATACAACCAACTGTAAAGACTGGATGTTGTAGTGGTTTAAAGAGTGAAATGTTAAGTCAGCTTATTTATGTTTAACGGATCACTTTCAAGACATGCAGCCGCCCTTAAAAAAACGAGAAGTTAAAAGTATTTGGCCGCAAGTCAGTTATTTGTCTAGAATGATTCAGTCAAAGAAAATGTGATAGGTAAGCTATGTACCGCACATAGGAAACAATAAATTCATAATAAATTTGGCTTAAAACTTTAAAGTGAAAATGTTTTGGATAAGATTGATCACACTAGCATATCATAAACATGTTTACAAATGGGGTTTGGAAGGTATGTGACGATAGTATTTTACTATAAGAAAAATTGTCTTTGAATATATGTTATCGACAAAACAATAAATAATTAAGTTATATAATTTTTCGGAGTATGGGTTGTCTCTGTCTCTTGTAGATTGAAGGGTGGGGTACCTACTTAATGAAGGTCACATGAAAACTATTAATGTTGATTCTGATTAAATAAATTCTGTCGCAATAAAGATGAAAGACAGACACGAAATCCTTAGTATGCGTTCATAGTATACACTTTGAGGAAATAATTCGTAAAAAGTCAGAAATGTGTTCGTAGCGTAAGAATTCTGGGGCATCGCTACGTTATTGCATTGAGGCTGTCTTAGGACGTGCGGGGATGAGCCCTCCAAAATAGAACTTGATAAAAATCAGCTCAAATTTTTTTGTGTTATAAAATTCCTCATGTTTAGTTACCTAGAAGAATGTTTAGCTTGTGGTAAAATTGTATTAGGTGTAAGATGTATTTTTCCTTACAGCTTATGTTCAAAATATTTTTCACATTAATAAATACGTAGTTCATTACGAATGATATACTCTTAAGTAAGTCCTCATGTAAAACATGTTATTTAGTCTGATCTTAATAAAAATTAGAATGTGTTGGTACATCTATTGAAAATTTTCATTATCAAAATTAATGATAAACCTTTCAGTTGTTCAGGAGTTACATGCTGGCAGATGGACGAAGATATGAGACGATTGTAAGAAGTGAATTTCTGGGAATGTTCAAACCGTGGGCTGTGTTTACGTGACAAACACACTATAGAATGTGGTCCGACATTAAACTTGAGTATTCAGTAAAGTAATATCGATTCCTCTGTTCGCTTTATATTAATATTATCTGCGGTAATCATACAAACCAGCCGTCAAATTTCATCAGCAATCGGTAGTTTCCCCAGCAGGACAGAAGAGCCCTTGTCCACTCTGTGTTACAACTTTCATATTTTATTATTCGTTTTGTATACTTTGTTGGGCGACAAGGAATATCTGGCCTTGTTAGCAGAAATAATCATCGACGGAGCATAAGAGTAGCAATTTATTTCCCCAGGGACACGTTCAAAAATCTGCCCTCTTCGCCTTTACCAAATTTTAGAATCAAAAATCAAGATTATCACCGCACATATAATGGAATTCATGTTCTTATTTGAAATTCGTCGTCCTCTTCAGTGATTGCTTTAAAAACATTTCCAGCTTGTGTTCAATTCTTTTTATGCTGCTATTAATCCTCCAGAGGCTGATCATGTATTTTATCCGTAAAGTACAGACTGAGAGCTTTAGCTGTTTGTTTTAAAGGCTTCTAATACAGATCCAAAGGCCTATTCAGGTCGTTGTGTTATTTTATAAACACGTGTTTAACCTTGTCGCTTGAAGTAGAGCATGACCGCTACTTAACGTACAGTCTACACAAATAAAAATAATACTACGTGTCAGGGTCACGCAAGTATATACAGAATGTTTATAAATTATATTTATCAATATATTCATGAATGAAACCTTTACGAAATGTCATAGACACGCTGTTTGATCGTCATCAGCGAGAGAAGCTCTCAAAGTTTGTTCTGAACATTAAAAGCATTCAACAGGGGCACCATTTGTCACACGTACAATGTCCAAACGATATTCAGGCCCCATTCATGTACTTTGCATCATGTCAGTGTCAACTGGTTGCAATAACAACTGAAATTACAGTCCGCGACTGTAATCTTGAGACTTGCGGGGTGAGGAAGTAGGGGTGAAGGAGGACATATCGTCTGCATTCAACGCTTAGGACTTCCTGCATTCCTTTCAAGTCTCAAGATTACAGTCGTGGACTGTATGTACTTCAAATGGGACAAGAGATGTGCACCGGGTACTGGTTGGGAAACCTGAAGGGAAGAGACCTCTGGGGAGACCTAGACGTAGATGGGAGGATAATCTCAGGCGGGATCTATGGGAGATAGGAGTTGAAGGAGACTGGATTTTGTTGGTCCGGTGGAGGGCTTTGGCTAATTCGGTGATGAACCTTCGGGTTCTGTAAGCCATCTAGTTGGTTGGGTCCACTATTTGGGAAGCCTGAGGGGAAGAGACCTCGGGGGAGACCTAGACGTAGATGGAGGATAATGTCAAGAGGGATCTATGGGAGTTAGGAGTTGAAGGAGACTGGATTTTATTGGCCCAGGACAGGGTCCGGTGGAGGGCTTTGGTTAATTCGGTGATGAACCTTCGGGTTCTGTAAGCCATCTAGTTGGTTGGGTGCACTATTTGGGAAGCCTGAGGGGAAGAGACCTCTGGGGAGACCTAGACGTAGATGGGAGGATAATCTCAGGCGGGATCTATGGGAGATAGGAGTTGAAGGAGACTGGATTTTGTTGGCCCAGGACAGGGTCCGGTGGAGGGCTTTGGTTAATTCGGTGATGAACCTTCGGGTTCGGTAAGCCATCTAGTTGGTTGGGTCCACTATTTGGGAAGCCTGAGGGGAAGAGACCTCT